CCTCAAACCCAAATAACCTCAGGTTCGTTTTCCAGCAGGAAACAAGCTCCGGTGAGGAGCCCTTCTCCAGAGCTGTGGGTTGGGCAGGACACGGAGCTTGGGTCTGCCCAGTGTCACCTGCATCACTCATTTCCTGAGACGCCTCTTCCCCCGAGGAATCTCGCCTCAGCTTCAGTGTGGAAGCTGTCCAGGTGCACATGAGTCAACAAAGGGACACCTCAAGTCACTTCAGAAAGCAGGCGCTTTCGATGGACACAGAAGCCTTTCACCAGCAGACCAAGTTCACACATGACAGGAGGGCACAGTTAGGAAAGGAAGAGGCCTTTAGACATCCTTTGAAGGCGTGCAGCCCCGCGCACAGGCACGTCGCTCACCTTCAGCAAAGGTGACGCTATGCTGCTTCACAACTGCGACCTGAAAACACCATCACATGCAACTCCTGACCTCAGAAATCCCTCCAGAGTACCACGAGCTCAGCTTGCCCAGCTGAGCTGGCCTCACCATTAGCCACCAGAAACAACACCAACATTTAAAATACTCTTCCTGCCCTGTTGGTTTATACCTCCCGCACTACCCCAGAGAGCCCTGGGCGAGAGAAAGAGGCGGCAGCGGTACTGAAGCATGGATGCTGGTGCCAGACAAGAGCCTCCCCAGGGAGCCTCCTTGCCTTCGGGACACAGGTTTCGGAGCAGCGCGGTTCTCACAGCAAGTTTCAGTGGGGTCTAAGCCATGCTGACGAACCCCAGTCTGTACACAGAAACTTTTCTGGGCACGGAAGGAACATCATGTTCATCTCCAGCACTGCCTCACACCAGCACAATAAATAGAGGTTTAAAAAAAAAACCCCAAACACAAACCCAAAGCAAACAATGCTTCAGCTCATCTTGTAAGATCTCAGCTGTTCTCACCCTATAATCAGAAGAGCGATATAGAAGAAATAAAATCAAGGTTATCTTTCCTACATCAAGGCTTTTCTTGCTTAGAAGTATCACGGGGGCTGCTACTGCCACACGGCAGCGGGCAGAGCAGACCGCAGCCCGGGACCGGTGGCCAAGGAGCAGCATCTCCTATGAGACTCCAGAGGGAAGCGCTGTGCCCAGGCACAAAGCTTTCGGCACTGACAGGAACAATCTGGGAGTGTCACCACACTGGTGGCACCACTTTTATGGCACAGGCAGCAGCACAGAAGCTTTGAAAGGAAAGCCCTCAGCATCCAGGCTCAGAGAGTGGCAGTTCTGCCCCGTCCAGAGCTACCCAGGAGTGTCCTGGGAGAGGTAGTCGAGACAAAACAAAGGCTCGGCCAGAAGCAGCATGCAGCGATGCTGACCCTGCTTTACCGCAAAGCGCAAAAGTCAACTCCCCAACAGAAAAAAACCACCAAAAAACAAAAGAGAAACTATTATGGAAACAACATGGAATCCAGTACATTCATCCCCCATCTTTCCTGAGCACTAGGATCCCACCAGCCAGGCAGCCTGCTCTAACAGCTTGCTGCCTCACAGCATAGCTTCAGCTAAATTGCACTGTTCATTTCCCCACCACAAAAAGCACCTAAAAATCAGTGTGTCCCCCACTCTGTTCAGTTCCCCTTGTTCCTTCAAAGGCCACCCTTGACCTCACACGCTTTCAGGATTCCCAGTGTCCCTCCCACCCTTCTCGGAGGTCACCCAGCAAACAGGGTGTGACAAATTGACAAGGCACAGCGCTCTACATTCCCAACAGCGGCTGCCTCAGTGCTTGCCGGTGTTAAGGAGTCCTTCCACATTCCAGATTTTAACAAAGCTACAAGAAACTGGTAAATGCTTTCTGGAAAAAAGCACGTCTGCCTCCACTGCACTCCCAGCCACCCAGGAACAACTTGTCCTGGGAAGTGCTGGGAAACTCAGAATGCAGGAAAGGACACACCATCCACTACCGCTGCGCACAGACGGGTAACCACAAGCTGCCACCCTGCCAGGGAGCTTCCGAGCTACACTCACATGAGACACTAGTGGATTAAAAAACTTCATGCGGCCTTTACGTCTCCCCTCTGGTCACCACCCTGGCTCCACAGAAGGGACCTACAGCATTTAGGGCTCTGGCAGAAGCGTGCAGAGCACTGCGTTATTTTGGGGGCTACATGCAAGTATTGATCCCCAAGACAGCCCACCTCTCTCTCCATGCCATAATCCCCCTGGGATGCTGCCATGATACACTTTAAAAGTTAATAGTGCCCCTTCTAACATTTTAAAAACAGAGTGCC